CGGGATCCACAGAGAGCGGTGGGGGGTGGAGGGGGGGGGAGGTCTCTATAGAGAATTCTCCCTCTCTGACGTTCTCTGATTGAAGCTCTGTACACCCAGCGTGAACGCGGCACCCAGGGAGGGGGAGGAGTCGCTCCTCGGGCTCACTCACTTGTGGGTCAGTTTCTGTTTGAGTTATTGAACTCTGTGAACAGACTTAGCTGAAGATAGATAATTAATGGAAAGGAGCCCAAGCTCCGCCTACGGGATTTGGTGACAAAGCCGACCGGTTGATGCGCCTCCACATTCTTTTCTATTTCTTGTAAAGCAAAGCTCAGACTGGGAGAGAAAGAAGCAGCGCAAAGAGCCAATCGGTCCATGTGCTGACTGGAAGAGTCTATCACAGAGCTACTTTTCGGTCACATGATGGGGGCGGGTCCGTGACACCCCAACTCAGAGGAAGTGGGTCGAACGATGCGAAGACTGAGGGCATGTGGTGGCAGAAAACGGCTCCAGATTTAAGGCCGGTTCACACCACAAAGAGTGCGACCCAGAGCGTTCAGCCTCTGCGATGCAACCCGCCCGACTCCCTGCGTTCAAGGGGCGGGAGGGGGCGTGTCGATGCATTGAAGTCAATGGCACAGTAGCCACGCCCCCCCTTTCCCCAAAGCCCGCATTGCGATCGACTGCACCCCAAACGCGTGGCACATTAGTGCCTGCCTTCCAGTTCCAGTCTAATGCGTCACGCGTTTGGGGTGCAGGCGATTGCACTGCGGGTGGGGGTGTGTGGCTGCGGTGCCATTGACTTCAATGCACCCTCCTGCCCCTTAACGCAGGCAGCCGGCCGGGTTTGCGTTCCACAGGCCCAATGCTCTGGAACGCACTCTTTCTGGTGTCACTGGGCCCTTAGTGTTTAAGGAGAACTATGAGGCGAGTGCTTGTCACTCACCTCATAGTTCTAGCCGACCTGTGGCAATGAGACTGTCACAGGTCGGCTCAGTAGATCGGGAGGTGAGGGAACACATACCGGCGCTCGCTCACTTCTCGATAATCTCCCTGCAGAGAGCCGTGACTGTCACGGCTCCCTGCAGGGATTCCCCTTCCCCTGTCCAATCCTCCAGCGCTGACCGGCGGAACAGACGGGGAGGGGGCGGGTTCATCTGGCTCTACCTCTAGATAGGCAGAGCCAGCTGTCACTCACGCAACTGGGTGGATCCAGACAGTAGGGATGTCGGGATGCGTTCCGGCTGCGGCCGTCTCTGTATACCGCGAGCTGTAACTGAGCTTTGGGTGACGGGAAAGCCCTGAAAATTGCTGCAAAAGCTGTTTTTTGGGGGGGTTTTTCATATTTACTTTTTTTTTTTTACAAAATGTAAACGTACTTTAAGAATGTATCTTTTATCCGTGATTATAATGAATACAGGATGTGCGCAGAACAGATTTACATAATCCCATGAGAGAGTTTGTGGTTTCCCTATTCCTACACTTGGCTCCCCATGGGCTCCATTCAGCACTGGGAGTGCCCGGAGCATCATGTGACAATGCTGGGCCAGTCATGGAGGGGGGTCCATAGCTTTTCCTATTGTTCTCGGTGGATGAATGGAGCAGTGGGGTATGTAGGTTCCCCTACCTCCCCCCTATGGGTGTTGGGCTCCCCCTATGGGTGTTGGGCTCCCCCTATGGGTGTTGGGCTCCCCCTATGGGTGACCCACTCCTCCAGGGAGCGCTTGGCTCAACATGGTATGTCGTGTGTATGACGGAGAGGTCACATGATCTCTTCTCTGTACAGTGAACCCAGAAGCACCCGGCTCCGAGCACTTCCATGTTCACCTCCAAACAGTCGCGCGATCACCGCGTGAAAACAAGCTCGGTACCTGAGTCGCCTATGTGTGAACCGAGCCTAAAATGGTGAACTCTGAAGCCTCGCCCCAGGGACAATGTCGGGGAGGGGGGTCATGGTTTGGGTGATTTGGTGGCGGCACTCGGCTGGTTGTAATGGAAAAGCTTCTGACTTCCCAATTCCTGGCGGCCATTCTCCCCGAGCCTTTCCTAGAGGCCACGGGGGGGGGGGAGTCCATACCGGCCCGCTGTGGTCACCCTTCTAAAAGCAGGCCCGGGTCACTCGGAGGACAAGGGGCAAGGGGGGGGGGGGGGGTAATTATTTCGAAGTTTTTAACATGCGGGTCTGTTTCCCAGCAGAGGTGATGAATTAATAATGTCGGTGCAATTTACAGCCGAATGCTTTCACCTAAAAGGGACCTGTTGCAGCTCCTCGTATTTAACCCTTCGCTGAGCGCTGAGTACATGAGCGGCAACGTTTATACTTCATCCACAGGGATATAGCACACCTCTGTCTGCTGCAGGCAGGAGGAAGCATTTCCTCAGTCTCCCCTCACCCAGTGATCAGTCAGATAGGGGCCCAGGGTCAGGTTTTTATTGCCGCCTTTGTCCCCACTAGGGAGATTCACACTCACTTCCTGTTCACTCACTTCCTGTTCTTCCTGTCTTGTCGGTTCCAACCCGACAAGACTTCTGACTCTGATCTCTATGGTTTGAAGCCCGGGGTCCGCATGGGCCCCCCCCATACCTCCTCTATAAATATATCTCTAGGCAAAAGTGGGGGAGGGTTAGACCGCCTGCCAGGTTTGTGTCCCCATGGGGGAGATTCTCTGTTTGTTCTGAAGAGCGTTGTCACCGGCAAAGAATGACAGGAAATCCAGAATTTTTAGAATGAGGTGAGGGGAAATCTTCCGGTGGGGGCACATTTTCCGGGGATGACCGTCCTCCCTTCCCCGCACACTAGATGTCTGATAACCGGCATCATTCAACCCACTGCCTCTGAGACGGGTCATAGTGGACCCCAGCCTGTGATTGGACAGAGAGAAGCAGCGCAATGATGAGCTCATCTCTCCTATCAGCATGCTTCTTGTCAGCAGATAATCTCATTGGTTCCTTGTGCTGCTTCTATGTCTAGCACTCCAGCCCTGCTGTACCGGGTCACATTCTTGGTTGCTGTAGATCTCCTGCAGCCACTTCCTGTCCACGTGCACTCCAGCGATGGCTGCCTGGCATTTCTCAGGGCGGGGCCCCTGATGGTGACAACGGTGGGTCATGTCTGTGTGCTGGAATGGCCCCTTTTGTATGCTGTGTGACAGGGGTGACAACGCATGAGACCAAACGGAAGAGGGGGAAACAGCGTTGTCACCCTATAACAGGAAGTGCCTGAAGATGGACCCTCCAGGGATCGTTGTAATGTTTTTTTTATTTAAAGAATGGGCTGTGACAGGTCCACTTTAAATCGGTGGCTTTGGCACAGTCATGCTCATTGATCTCTGTCTCTCTTTTTTGTTTCCGCAGTCGCTGCTCTTCTGGGCTCTGGTGGTCGCCGCCTGCGCCTTCCTTAACCTTCTCCTCGTCTCCATCTATCTCCTCTGCTTCTGCTGCTGCAAGAAAGATGAAAGCCTGGAAACCAAGAGGCCGGGGTCGTGCTGCATCACCTGGACCGCCACCGTGTCGGGTCTCCTGTGCTGGTGAGTACTGCCAACCCAAATCCAGCTCCTCCCCCTTGCCCAGAACAACCAATCGGGGAGCCGCCAGATTGATCTATCGGTCCGTCGCCCCCAATCCGCACCCGACCGGCTTCTATGAGGTGACGCTGTGCCCCCATTTATGGCGTTTTGTCATCGTTACCCCGGGAGCGCCGCACGCAGCGTGTGGTCTGTACAGTTTATTTTTATCTCGCTCTTATGACGCCCCGACCC